TATGAATTCCTTATATAACACATTCTTTTTTTTACATGCATTCTGTAATCCCTTACTCATCCATGGTTTCCCACTGTAATTCCTTTTGTTTTTATACTGCTTACGAGGACAGTTCCTGTCATATACTTTCTTAAATATATTTAAAAATTGCTCATATGCTTTATCTAAGTCTCTGTAAACTGATTCCCAGTTTTGCCCCATAAAATCCTCTTTTAGCCTCCTTACAGCATGTTCATTCGTCACCCTCCTATAGAAAAGATTTGTTTTTGGCCTCTCTTTTCTATACTGGCCCTCATAAACCACAAATACTGGTAGATGATCACTAATATCATTTATAAGTAATCCACTTGTCATTTTGCTGTCAATAACATTGGTAAGTATATTATCTATTAGTGTTGCATGCTGGGTTGTTACTCTACTTGGTTTTGTAATTTTTGGGTATAAACTGCATCTATATATTGTGTTAATAAACTCCTCAGTTCCTGTGTGCTTGTTAGGATTTAACAAATCTATATTGAAGTCACCACATATGAACATTAATTTATGACTTATTGTCAAGTAATTTTCTTCCATCCAGTCATTAAATTTTTCTATGCTGGTTCCAGGTGCTCTATAAATACAGCTTACAACATTTTTCTTTTTTTCCACGAGTATTTCTACAGTCACACACTCCGGCAAATTATCCACCACCCTTGACATTTTCTCCACTTTCTTATAACAAAGGTTTTTATCTATGTACAAGGCCACACCACCTCCCATCTTATTCTCTCTGTTTGTGCATACCAAGTCATAGCCATCAAGGTCAAAATCCATTCCCCTTACATTATTAATCCATGTTTCAGAAATAGCAATTATATTAAAAGAATGTTTAAGACTACTAAGATAATGTTTTATACTCTGAAAGTTTGCGTATAAACTTCTGCTATTAAAGTGAATTAATGATAATTTGTTCTCAGTCTTAACATTGCTGTTAAACTGCTCATCCGTGTAATACTTGCAGTTATTTTCAGAGTTCTTAAAAAAGTTTTTTTCAGGGTCAAAGTCATCGTCCGAGTCATGATAATGTTGTTCAGTGTCTCCAATTGTGTTCAGTTCCAGATCCAATCCCTCAAAAACTATTAACCTCTGTAGCAAATCACTTGCCTCATTCTGTACATGGGTCATGCTTGTTGTTGGTTCCTGCTAATTGTTGGTTCCAACGCTCATCTGCCCTCGCAGATATCAATATACCTGCGTGTTTCTTCATACAGCTGAGGGTCCAGCGACCCCTTCATACTCTCCTAGTGGTAGTTAGGATGGCAGGTTGTTGGTAGAGGTCAGTGGTATGGGGAAGTCTCCTGAGGGACGGCGCAGCTCTCTGGCTCAGCCAGTCAGAAGAAGAGAAGAGAGAGAGAGGAAGAAGACATAGGATGGGAGGAAGGGCTATGTGAAAAAGAGAAGTGGCTGAAGCTGAAGTATTTATAGAAATATGACAGGAAAGGACGTGCGTTTGAGGCACGATCCTGCTTCATTAATGAGAATAACCATCCGCTGCAGCCCTAGCAAAGAGCAACACCTGAACACACAGCTGCTGACAGGAAATGTAAAATTAGCAAACAAACATTTCACCTGAAATGTATCTTAAACGGTCTGGACACACAGCTGAACCTTTGGGTTCTTCACTGTTCTGCACCAGCACACGTCTTCACACTGCAGTCACGTCTCACTTCTCTCCATTTACTCCAGTGCCGCACTTAAATACAACTTTAAGGTGATTTTAAAGCATTTCAATTTTATACCTCTACTATCTTTAACTCCACTACATATCAGATGGATGTCAGTGCTGCACACGAGTATATAAAATAGAGCATCTGCACAAATAGTTACAACAATGTATAACATATTTAAGTACATTTGGCTGCTGTTATTTACACATTTTTACTTAAGAACGTTGGTTTAAATGTACAATTTGTTGACATTTGACAATGTTTGTTTATGGCTAATGTTGGGTTTAATTTGGCTCCACCACCAGTGAAAGCGTTTGTAACAACAATGACTGGCTCAAGGATGACAAGAGCCTCTACAAGAGGGGACTGTTATGTTAAGTTCAGGTCGACAGAATTTGGTCAAAACTCGTTTTCAGTGATGTGGAATTCTCCACCACAGAGTATCAGAGTGCAGTACTTTGAAGACCTTCAAATTTAGTCTGGAATAAGTGGCTCAGTGCCACTCACAGCTGCAGTTCACTCAGTTAAGTCAATATGATGATGTAGCTAGCGTTATTGTTAAGGCTCTGACGAAAAGCTTTTTATGGATGAGCTTGTTGGAATTGTGTTTTTAGATTTTGTATTGTGTTTTATTGGATTTGTCTAAAGTTTAACGTTTTATGACTTCCCATTATCTGATGACAACAGGCAATCATGTGCATTTTCGGTGCCCGTCACTCAGGGACTGCAGATGAAAATTAGATTCTATCTATATCTGGTACAATAAATGACCTGTGCATTGTCCCTGTGAAATAAACAAACAAAGAATGAAGACAAAGATTTCAGGGCACT